AGGTAGGACTTTAACTCCTCGAAGGCTTTCTGGAAGTCTTCTGTCCATTGAAAATCCTTCAACTTCTTGATGGATCGAAAGAAGGGTATGCACCGGTCGACTGACTTGGACATGAATCGGCTAAGGGTCGTGACTTGGCCAGTGAGCCTCTAGGTTTAGTAGGAATCTGCTGAATTAAAAAATATGAAAGAAAGTAGTTTCTTGAAGAGAAAAGGAAGAGAGAAGGAGAAGAAGAGAAGATGAGAAGTTGAAAAGCAAAGAGAGCAATAATCTAGCCGCCCCCTTCACTATTTATACTAAAATAATAGAACAATACAAAGACAACTATGCCCTTATAGGGCGGCAAAACATAAAACAACATATATAACACTAAAAAAACATAATAAAATTTGGACTCACATAACTACTGTGGTCCCCACCTTCTATCTAACAACTAACATAAAACATCTGCTCAGAAAAACATCATAAAACTAATTAATCTTCAACACTCCCCCTCAAGTTGGGAGTAAATGTCACACATTCCCAACTTGCGTAGATCATGTTCAAGCTTGTTCCTTGCCATCCCTTTAGTGAGAACATCAGCCAACTGCAAATCTGAGGAGACATAAGGCAAACAAACTTCTCCGGTTGTTACCCTTTCTCTTATAAAGTGTCTATCAACTTCAATGTGTTTTGTCCTATCATGCTGAATTGGATTGTGGTTAATATTGGTTGCAGCCTGATTGTCACAGTATAACATCATAGGTTCCTCTGCTTTCACCCCAATCTCACTCCAATGAGATCTAACCCAAAGAAGTTCTGAGACACTATGAGCCATGGATCTATACTCAACCTCTGCACTTGACCTTGCCACAACCGCTTGTTTCTTTCTCTTCCAAGAGATCAAGTTTCCACCTACAAAGGTACACACTCCTAATGTAGACCTCCTGTCATCTAAGCATCCTGCCCAGTCTACATTTGTATAGGATTCTAGCTTCAGATTCTCATGATCTGAGAAAAGAATGCCTCTGCCAAGGTGCCTTTTCAGATATGCAGGTATTCTCTCAATAGCTTCCCAGTGTTGAATCTGAAGTGCATGCATGTACTAACTCACATCACTGATAACATAAAAAATACCTGGTCGTGTCATACACAAATATAACAGTCAGCCCACCATTCTTTGATATCTCCCCACATCCTTTACCAATTCACCATCCACACCATTAATTTTGTGATTTGGATCAATAGGAGTGTCTGCTGGTTTGGTCCCCAGCTTCCTAGTCTTTCGTAGTAGGTCAAGTACATACTTTCTCTATGAAATGAAGATCCCGATGCTTGGATCTTGCAACTTCAATCCCTAAGAAGTATTTGAGCTCACCAAGATCTATGATCTCAAATTCTTGTTGCAATGATTTTTTGAGATCATCAATCTCCTCCAGATCATTTCCTGTCACCACTATATCATCCACATACCCAATTAGAATTGACACCAAATCTTCTCTCCTCTTCACAAAGAGGGTATGATCAGACTATGTCTGTGTGTATCCAAAACGGATGAGTGCCCCTTTGAACCTGTCAAACCAAGCCCTAGGTGACTGTTTTGGTCCATACAAAGATCTTTTGAGTCTGCACACCTTTCCTTTACCAACATTTTCATAAAAATATACCTCCTCCTGTAAGTCACCATTGAGGAAAGTATTTTTGACATCAAGCTGGAACAAGGGCCATGAATAGGTGGCTACTAGAGATAAAATGATATGAACTGAACTCATCTAAGCTACTGGTGCAAAGGTTTCCAAATAATCAACACCATAGGTTTGAGTATACCCTTTTGCTACCAACCTTGCCTTGTACCTCTCTATCTTGCCATCGGCCTTATACTTCACAGTGAATACCCATCAACATTCGATTGTCTCCTTATTGGGGGGAGATCAACTATTTCCCAAGTTTGGTTTTTGACCAAAGCATCCATCTCATCTTGCATGACTATTTTCCACTCAGGCTTGGAGAGAGCCTCAGTAACATTCCTAGGTATAGACACAAAATCCAGGGAAGAAAGAAAAGCATGATAGGAGGGTGATAAGGCACTATAGGAAAGATGGTGTGAAATGCAGTGGACTGTACACTTTATCTTCCCTTTACGAAGTGCAATGGAAAGATCAAGGTCAGTGAGATCAACTGCAACAATGGTGTTAGGGACAAAAACATTATCATCAGAAAACCTAACAGGCTCAGGCTCAAGAGGAATACCTGGAACTATGTTTTCCGAATCTGGAGTTTCAGAAGGATTGATAGAGAGGTGTGGGTCGAGGATGTGTGGAGTCAACCATAATCTGCCGGCGCTGATATTGCTGTGAGGCTACCCGTAGTGGCTCAGGTAATGAAACTGAAGGTGCAGGTGCTGGCTGAACTGATGGTGTAGGTGGTGGCTGGACTGATGTAGATGCTGGCTGAACTGATGAAGGCACCATAGAAATAGGAAGGGGAACAGATTGTGAGTTCTCCTCCCCAAAACTCTCTCCCTGAGGAGAACCACTTGAGAAAAAGAATGTGGATTCAAAAAAGGTAACATCCATATGACAACTCTGCTCCTCGACATTGGGTCATAACAACAATACCCCTTTTGGTTTTGAGCATACCCAAGAAAAACACATTTCTTGGCCTTAGGATCCAATTTCTTGCGATGAGGGCCAAGAATGTGAACAAAAGAAACACAACTAAAAACCCTCAAACGTATATGAAATATCTCTCCATTTGGAAAAAGAAGGCTAAATGGCACCTTAAATCCCACAGTCCATGAAGGAACATGGTTAATCACATGTATGGCTGTAAGAACTACACAGGAACTGAAGCACACACCATTGGTCACTCTAACTGTCCTCTTCCCAACAATGGGCATATGTGAACCATCTGCTGTAGAGACTCTGTCTCTACTAGAGCACAACTAATAGGAACTGAAAATGGTAGGGGCATTAGTCATATGCTCAGATGCTCTTGAGTCTATAATCCAGGGAGGTCCCTCTTTACATGAAGTGGATGCAAGATTTGTAATTGCATATGAACTACCTGTATGTGCAAAGGAAGTGGTGTAGTTAGCTCCTGCATTCTGCTGTCCATCTGGAAGGCTAGAGTTGGGTGAATCTTTCTTACTCATAAGCTGTCCAAACCTCTCCAACTCTGTTATCACTGCTGTTACTGCAATGGATTCCCAATCAGTTTGGGAGAGAGGGGCTGAAGAATCTTCTATAGTGGTTACATTTGCATTTCCCTTCTTGTTTCTTATCCGAGCAGGGATAAGATTTGGATGGAGCTTCCAACAAGTGTCCCTGGTATGCTTAGGCTTCTTGCAATAATCACACACCAAGTCCTTATCTTCTCTTTTTGTCTAACTACTCCCCTTGTCTCCATTCGGCTTAGGTTTTGTTGTACCAACCATAGCCGACTGGTCAATCCCAGGCTGTCTCAGCATTACATTCCTCCTACTTTCCTCTTCAGAGACAAAAGCATAGGCCTGAGAGAGTGTCACACCCTCCCTAGAAAGAATGTGTTGCCTAGCAATGTCAAATTCAGGATTCAACCCTGCCAAGAACTCAAAAACCTTATTCCTTTGTACCAATTTGTGAAAAGTTGTTGCATTATTTACACTTTCCCATACCACAATTTCTAAGTGATCTATTTCCTACCATAGGGTTTTCAGCAAGGAGAAATACACAACAAGAGGTTTTTCTCCCTGTTTCATACTTATCACCTGATTTCTTAACTGATAGGTTGTGGTTTCATTTTGCTTATGAGAGTAGGTTTTAGTCACTCCATCCCTAATCTCCTTAGCAGTATTAGCACATAGGATTTTTTTTGCAATATGAGGTAACATAGAATTAAACCGCTAGGACATTACCATGTAATTCTCTTGCACGCATCGAGAAGAGTCTGTATCAGGTTTCTTCTCCTCCCCAGTGAGATACCCTAATTTTCCACGGGCACCAATAGCCATCTTAGCTGATTGTGCCCACTCCAAATAATTGTACGATCAAGTTTTATTGTAGTAATGATCCCAGACCCAAAAATATCACTACTACCTCCAACACCCAGTCCCATAGTACCGGTAGATTTTATCTCGGTWTTCCAACTCTCCATTTTACTTAAAAAGTTCAACAATAAGAAAAAATAGATTGAAGACCTTCAAAAAATAATTTAATACCACACACAGAAACCAACCCTTCCGGAAGAAGAAAACCCTAGCTAGAGGGAAATCTCTCTCCTCCCTATGCCTCCCAACAGAGAGAAAAGTGAATCAATCACTCCGAAGCCTAGAAAATTTCAGAAACCAAACCGCTCTCTTTAGAAAATCGAAAGAAAACTAACAATACCTGGGCACCCAAGATCAGATAAAAAACAAAGACTCCAGCTTTTCTGGGGCTCTTTCCCGTACTCCAGTTCTTCCTGATTTTGATGCCGAATAGTGGATCACCTTCTTGATGTCTAGATATCACAAAAAACTCCAAGAACTGGGCAATCTATAGCATATCAATTTGCCCTTTACTACTTCATGCAGTCGGCTGATCTAGGGCTGCATGAGAATGCTTCAAGAAACCCTAGCCGATGCTCTGATACCAAGTAGGAATCTGCTGAATTAAAAAATATGTAAGAAAGTAGTTTCTTGAAGAGAGAAGGAAGAGAGAAGGAGAAGAAGAGAAGTTGAAAAGAAAAGAGAGCAATAATCTGGCCGCCCCTTTCACTTATTGTTTATACTAAAATAATAGAACAGTACAGAGACAACTATGCCCTTGTAGGGCGGCAACACATAAAACAACATATATAACACTCAAAAAACCTAATAAAATTTGGACTCACATAAGTACTGTGGTTCCCACCTCCTATCTAACAACTAACATAAAACATCTACTCAGAAAACCATCATGAAACTAATTAATCTTCAACAGGTTTCTAGATAGACCGAGGTGGCTCCATGTCCAGTATGGCTTGTGCTTTCTTAGGGTTGGCCTCTATGCCTCGTTGGGTGACTACAAAACCCAAGAATTTTCCCGAGGTACCCCAAAGGTGAATTTGGTGGGGTTCAGCTTCATGTTGTACTTTCTTAGTACCCCAAATGTCTTGCCAATGTTTGAGGTGTGTTGAATAGCCCTAAGACTCTTCACAACCATGTGACCAACGTAGGCCTCAATGTTCCTCCTTATTTGATCTCTAAAAATCTCGTTCACCTGTCTTTGGTAAGCGGCCTCGACATTATTTAGTCCAAAAGGCATCACCTTGTAGTAGTAGGTGCTGTGCTCAATGATGAATGAAGTCTTTTCCTCGTCGATCAAATGCTTCTTTATCTGGTTGTAGCCAGAGAAAGCGTCCATGAAGCTTAATAGCTCGTACCTTGTGGTGGCATTGACGAGGTGATCAATCCTTGGCAAAGGAAAGCTATCTTTGGGGAAGGCCTTGTTGATATGTACGAAGTCAATGCATATGCGTAGTTTCCCATTAGCTTTTCTAACCACGACCACATTAGATGGCCATTTGGGGTAGTGTACCTCTCTTACAAAGTTGATACCGAGTTGCTTGTCCACCTCCTCTTTGATGGCTTTTGACATTGAACATATGAGTAATGATCGAGGGGTTAATTCTTGGCATATCAGTGGCAGACCAATCTAATATGTTGGTATTGGATTTAGGGAAGCTTACTAGTTTGGAAAGTATGTCCTGAGGGAGGTGAGACCCGACTTGTACCGTTTTGTCGGGGTCAGCCTCGTCTAGCGGAACCGTGATGAGGTCCTTTTTTAGATGGCCTTGACTGGACGGTTCATCCCTGAGGTCGATCCCCTATAGTGGTAGGGTTTCCTTGTTCTTGCCTTTTAGCCCTGTAACGTTGCACTATTTGGTAGCTTGCCTTTTAGCGTCCCTGTGGTCAAGCCCCTCCATGGAGAACTTCATAGTGAGGTGGTAAGATTTGATGACTACCTTGAGTGCTTGAAGGGTCAGCCTCCTTATGATGGCTTTATAAGGTGAGTTTATCTTCACGACGTTCCAAGGTTCAGTCCTTATAGTGACCAATAGGGTTATTTTTCCTTTGGGTCTGACAACTACATCTCATAGAACAGGATGTCGGCTGAGGAGCCATTGTTTATGAGGATCCTTTTCACCATGTAGTTGGCGATGGTCATTGACACCACCAACGCGTCGTCTTGGGGCACAAATTCCCTCCATATAGGTCATCATCTAAGAAGGAAATGAGGTCATCCGACCTCGGCCTCTTTAGTGCTTGGCTCTAGATGTTGTATTGCTGGGCGTATGCTTTTTAAGATGAAGGGGATTCTCTCCCCGAGGCTGAGCCTTTGACTATGACTTCAATGACTCCGGCTAGGGGGTGATGATTGCGGGGCTTGGCTTATGACTGTTGCGAGGATGATGTTGGGGCATCGCCTTCTACAAAATCCTTTAAGTGCCCATGACGGATGAGGGACTCGATCTGGTTCTTGAGCTTGTAGCAATTCTTGGTGTCATGGTTGGTGCTGCGGTAGTACTTGCAATACTTATTGGGGTTCCCCCTTTTTGGGTTCCTCTTTAACTTAGATGACCACTTCATGAATTCTTCCTTCCCTATTTGCATCAGTATGTGCGTTCAGGAGGAGTTTAGCAGCGTGTACTTATTGAAGGAAGGTTCTCCCCACGTGCATGGAGACCTAAGGGTCGAGGTCCTTGACCTCGAGTTCTTCTTCATTGAACCTCTTCATATATGCTCGAAGGCTCTCCTCGAACTTCTGCTTAATGGGCATCAGGGAGATGACAGTTTTTTGACACCGTCAGCTGCTCATAAAGTGACCTGGGAAGAGGTCCGCGAACTGTTCCCTAAGAGCCGATGGAGTGTGGAGGAATCATTAGTGTGTTGCTCCCTTGAATGTGGCCTGGAAGGCCTGACACATTAGGGTGTCAGAGTATCTATGTAGGAGCATAAGGGCCTATAAGCTTTCTAGGTGGTCCTTGGGGTCTCTCGTCGTAGGTCTCTAACGTCGAGGCCTTGAAATTTGGCAAGAGGGGCTCAGAGAGGATAGAATCTATGAATGCTTCTATTCAAGACCTGCCAAAGCTGGTCTTGAATGGCGTCAATCTGCGCCTGAATATCTCCGAGGCACTAGTTGATGTATGGCATTGTTGCTTTGGCTTGGTCTTGGTTCTCTCTCACGTAGGATGGGCCACCCCATTTCCAGAGTGATTGAACGCCCACACATCCTAAGCCTTGCGGGCACAACGATCGTTTTGGAGGTCATGAAGGTCGGAAACTGGTGGGGGAGAGGTGTGGCGCTGGCCTCCTACCCTTGGATGGGGGTTGTAGTGGCTTGAGTGCCCGCTGTCGTCTCGATTTGTCGCCACGCGATGGTGTTAACGGCCGAGGTTCTTGTGCTTGGCATGGGACCCCATGGGGTCGGCCCCTCGGCTGGGGAGTCGAGGGGTTGTGGAATGAGGTTTTCCTGCCCATTGGCTGCTATTGTTTGGCTCTAAGGGGTCAGTTCTCTCTAGGCTGCCCAAGCGCTGGCTTAGCGGGGTATGGGTGGATCACCCATTGTGTTGTCAATGGCTTCCTATGGGGTGGCCACCCTATGTGTAGCCTGTTCAGGACCAACTCGAACTGATCAATTGTGACTAAGTTTCGGACGTTAGGAAAGGGGTCTTGCTTGTTAGCCATTTCAGGGACATTAGTTTATTAAAGGGTAAATTTTTTAAACTAACCTTATGGTTTAGCTAATTGACTAAGTGTACCCTTTCACAATTGACTAAATCTACCCTTATTATTAACATCCGTTCGTATTCCATGAAAACTCTTTTAAAACCCAATATTAACCCTCCTTCATTCGCTTCCTCCTCAAAACTAGAGCTGATAGAGAGAAACAATGACCCATGACTCGACGGTTGAGAGAACCAGGTGTTATGGCCGTGACCATGCGAAGCTCCTAACCTGGCATCTAATAGGTACCTCCAGAGCTTCATATCGACTCCAGATCCTAAATCAAAGCAGTTTCTGGGTTATTCCGTTCTGGGTTCTCTAAAATCTCCATTTCAAGCTTCTTGAAGATGTCGACTGATGGGAATACGTGGATCTGCCTATCGTTACCTATGATTTCCCTTCCTTTCTTTTGTTTGTTTATTTAGAATCCTCCGTTCTGATTTTCCTTGATCTGCAATGCAACGTGATGTAGACGTCAATGTACTGAAGAAGGTCATTTAGTGGAAGGCATTGTGGTGACAGTTAAGGGCGCTAGCCGCCAGGTCTGTCAGCTCATGCCATCCGCTCGCTCTCCCACTCCCCTCGAACCGAAATCTGATGGGTTTGAGGCACTACTGTACTTTGTGTTGGGTGTGAAGGTGAATCAAGAGTTGAAGGCGGAGAGGCATCGACACAGGTTCCTGAAGATGGGGTTTATTGTGGAGAAGGTATTGAAGGAAGGAGGGAAGGGACGAACTGGAGGGGTTTTTGGAATGAAGGACGAATCCAAAATCTATGGGGATGCACTTCGATGCGTTGGCGAAGGTGGAGGGAGAGAAGGTTGTACCGGAAAGGGTGGTGCTGGTTAATCCTCTGATAGTGGAAGATAGTGTTGCGCCTCACGTCCTCACTGGTAACATGACCATGTCGAAGACCCCTGTCTTACACCCTCCTCCGAATCCCTTTACCTTGTGAAATTTTTGCTTGAACCTTACCTCCGAATCCTTTTACCTCGGAATCCCTTAAAAAAGCTGGTTTCAACTTTCAATTTTCAAGGAAAAATAAAAAATTGTAAATAAAGAAATGTTATAAAAAGAGTTCGTCCCCTCTACCCATTCTTCGATCAAGGGAGATAACTAAAACTGAGTGATGTTGCCGCTAGGTTCATCGTTCTTGTTGGGGAAAATGACAGGCTGCGTTGCTCAGTTGTCCATAGATAGAGAGAGAGATAAATTAGGGAAGAAGAGTTGCCGCTGGTTTGCTCGACGGTGGGTTTCCTGGATTTCTGGGTGGAGCTCTTTCTAGGTTTTTCTGTACGGAGCTCTCCTACGACCTCCCTGATTCATAACAACTTTGATCAAACGCCATCTCTGTGCTGGCCGCCACTACTGATTTGAGTAGAAGGGCAACTAATCAATGGGTATTTTGGGTATAATTTAAATTAAATCAAACACGTGACGTCACGTGTAAACGGTATGCGAGAGTGACGTCACGTGTAAACGGTATGCGAGAGAGACTCAACGGGGAGGGAGTTGTCTTTCAATTGTCAAAAAAAGTAAGGATACTTTAAGACAATATTGAAACAGTAGATATAGAGTTAGTCAATTTCTTAAATCTTACGGGTAGTTTAAGAAATTTTCCCTTTATTAAATTAGGTTTGTTTTTTTAAGGGAAAATTTTAAAAACGTTTCCATAGATGATGCCAATTGTTACTGCCAAATATGAAGCCGAGGGCAATAACATAATTTCTAGCGTCTGAGGTCTATAGGTCCAACCTGTTGAGAGAAAGATGTTAGAGGCCCCGGGGTTATCCCAGGGGCGAAAACTCCAACGGTCAAAGTAGCAAAAGGCTACAAAGGATCAAACCAAGCAAGAGAGGAGACTTAGAGCTTAAGTTCTAGAGAGCCTTTACCTCAATGTGAGAGCCCCTTTTTATAGTCGGAATTGCCTTAGAGGAGGAGCAGGTGGTGGCAATTGGTAGTGGTTGGTAATGAACATACATCCATCTGACGCCACGTGTCAAGATCCCCAGGTTGACTAGATATTCCTACATCATTATTTATTGTAATGTTTTTTTTTTTCATAAAGTATATTGAAATACGTATTTATCATATAGTTATACCTTATTCATGATTATTTCCACCTTAGATTTAATATCATGTGATTTAGGAAAGTTTTCTTAAATGTATCATATTTTTTCCCCGTATCCATGTATAGGAGTACCATGATATATATCGATGTCCAAACTTACCATAACAGACAACATCAATACTGATAGCTTGCCCACCCAACTAGCTTTAATTTATTCGAGGGTAGAAATCGTGCAAGTTTTATATTCCATACCCATTTCTTTCAAAAAAAAAAAAAAAGAAAAAAAGAAAAATTTCGATACCCATTGAAATATTGAATGGATTTATCTTCTTTTCTGTTCTCATATAAAAAGAAAGGAGCTTTTTTGTTTTTCCATGCATATCGAATAAATTGATCTCCGTTTCCTTTCTTTTCTTTTTTATGCTCTGAGCATGGTCCATATGGGTGGGTGGAGACCGTGGAGCAGAAAAGGCTAGCTGCCTTTTGACAGTTCACCCAATAATAAGGCTTACGCTTCCCTTCTTTTAGTTTAGTCATTAGACAATAGTTACTGTTTTGAAGTTAAAAGGTAGTGCCTTCAAGTGTTGTAGGAATCAGGACTGAAAATCGAGAGTTGTTAGATCAATTTCTTCATCTTAATCTTCTTTGAGACCAGAGAAAAAAGTATGGCCGGAGTTGTTTCCAGCGCGGTTGCAGAGGAAATGGTCAAGAAATTGATTTTCACCGTTTCCCAAGACTCCCTTTTGGCATGGAATGTCCAAGGGGTGCTGAAAAAGCTTCAGGGAAGCTTAACAGTCATCCAATACTTTCTTCGGGACGCCCAAAGGCAGCAACTGCACAGTTCAGAGGTAAGAAGCTGGCTGAAGAGGCTTAAAGACGTAGCGTACGATGCAGATGACCTGTTGGATGAGTTCGAGTATGAAGCTTTATGCTGTAACATGGAGATCCAGAATACCCAGGACTCCATCGAGAATGAGGTACGTGACACCTCTTCCTTCAGCAACCCAATTGCATTTAGTTTCGAGATGGCTTGTAAACTGAAGGATATAAATGGGATCTTATATGGTCTAATTAGGGATGCTGTTAGCTCATCAGTCCAACTTCAAATAGAACCCATTTCTGGGGTTGGAGTTGGAGGGAGGGAAAGTGGTTATGTGTCTGCAGATACAACCAATCTGGGTGGAACAGGAAAGATGGCACTGAATGCAGTTAAGAGTACTCTAGGAGGTTTGAGAAGTGGGAGTGGTGATATTTGGGACAACAGTGGAGTCTCAGCTGAACTGAAGTTGAGATATGATCGTCTGCCATCACCTGTTAAGCAATGTTTCGCGTATTGCTCCATTTTGCCCAAGGATAGTACCCATGAGAAGGATACTGTAATCAAGTTGTGGATGGCGGAAGGATTTCTTGAAGTAGCTGCAGCCAGTGGAAGTAAACTGATGGAGGACATTGGAGATGAGTATTTCAATACGTTGGTATCGAATTCTAAGTTTGAAGTTGAAAGAAGAGACAATTATGGGGACGTTCGATATTTCAGAATCGATGGTTCTGTACATGATCTTGTGAAGTTAGTTGCAGGGAAGGAATGTTCGACAGTGAAGGACAAGGAAGGTAGTAGCATGGAAGGTGTTTCTGAGATTCGTCGCCTGTCAGATGAAATAAAAACTGGCCCAACATCTTTGCATGAGGCGAAGAAATTGTGGACTGTTCGTTCCACAGATGTATCGTCCTTGTTATGTTTCAACTGTCTGCGTGTGTTGGATTTGCGAGGGATTGTGGTCAACGAAATGCCGAGTTCAATCGGCAACTTGAAACATCTAAGGTATCTTGACCTCACAGGCTCCACTATTAAATCAGGGTCACTACCAGACTCCATTACTAGACTTTACAAACTGCAGACCCTGAAAGCACTCGAACTTCGTTGTTGTTTTTGGGAGCTTCCGGAAGAAATGAGAAAGATGATTGGCTTGAGACATCTGGAGGTTGAAAGGTGGAAGGTGCCAATTGAGGTAGGACGACTAAGTTGCCTTCAAACTTTACGTTTCTTTGCTGTGGAGCAGGAAAGAGGAAATGGGATCGAACAATTGAGAAATCTAAACTTCCTGAGAGGCTTCCTAGAGATTATTTTATTGGAGAAAGTGAGAAATGGAAGGGAAGCCATGGAGGCCAATTTGAAGCAGAAGAAATACCTTCAAGAGTTGAAATTGCAATGGGTTGAAAACGATACTATTACTGATGCAGATGATGTCTTGGAAGGCCTCCAGCCTCATGAAAACTTGCAAAAACTGGAAATTTATGGATTTGTAGGTCTGAAATTTCCCACATGGTTGAACTGTACATGTTATGCCTCACCACTCCCTAATTTGGTATCCCTCACTCTGTATCATTGCAATGGATGTGAAAATCTCCCAATGCTTGGACAGCTACCTTCTCTTAGGTATTTTTATATATTTACTATGGAGAATGTAAGGTGTTTGGGAGGGGAGTTTTATCAAGGAAGAAGTAGTACTGGTTATGGTGAAGTAAGAGGCAGAAGAAGAATATTTCCATCATTGGAAGAACTTGTTCTATCTGACTTGCCTAAACTAGAAGAATGGCTAGAAGCAGACGAAGAATGCAAGAGGCCAAATGAAGATCAAGAACTAGTTTTCTTCCCTTGCCTCAGAGAATTGAGTATTGAGAAGTGCCCTCTTTTGAAAAGATTACCAACTCGGTTTCCTTGCTTTGGTCCTCAGCAGCCACCCTGCTGACCTCTCTCACTACCCTTGAGGAGTTGCTCATTGGTAGCTTTGTTGATCACCCAGATTATTTCACAGGAGAGGGTATCCAACACCTCATCTCCCTCAAAAAATTTGGTATTTCATGCTGTGACAACCTGAAATCCTTGCCGGATCAACTTCAATGTCTCACCAAGCTAAAATGTCTAGATGTGTCTAGCTTCAACAGCTTGGTGGCTTTACCTGATTGGTTGGAGAATCTGACATTACTCGAGTCCTTGACCATCTATGGTTGCGATAATCTGATGTATCTGCCCAGTGAGCAAAGCTTTCCGGAACTAAAACGATTGGTGATTGGAGAATGTGCACGCTTGGGAATAAATTTTTTCATATGGGAAAAGGAAGGATAAAACACAGTCAAAGATGTTTGTTTCCCACGTTTATTTAGTTTCATCAACAGGTTCGTCACATCCTCGATTTATACTTAAGTCCCTCTCCCTTTGCTACTTCATACTCTTCTTTTCTGTTGAAGTAGTACTTGAGAGCACTAGAGCAGCAGGACTTTGGGAATAGTCGAGAGTCACTGCATCAACTTTTCTTATTGAGATCATTTAATTTTCATCTTTGCCATCTTATTCTCCTTTGTTCCTCACTTTCTCTTGTTCTTTCTATCTTTTCAGATTGCACAGAGAACATATAGTAAGATTATTAAGATGTGATGCATGACGTTTACGACGGGAAACTGTATGTGCAGGCACCAATAAGGTACCCAGAATATTAGGATTAGGACTGCGCTTGTAATTTTTGTTCTAAAAGGAAGCTTGTAATAAAACCAATTCTCCAATATGTACAATGTCTACGATATTCAGTATGATAGTATTAGCACCGACATGGATGCTATTGATATTGACGGGACTTCCACCCCTAGTAATGATACTAGGGGAAAGAAAAAGAAGGCCACAAAGTTGATTAATCCAGTTTGAAAAATATTTAAAATAAAGGAGGTTCAGGGGAAGGGAAAAAAAGTTGTTTGCCAAAAATGTAGGAAATGCTTAAGCTATTGTAGCAAGGGTGGTACTGGCCATTTGGATAGACATTTGCTCAACCATGAGAAAGAAGAAGAAGAAGGGAGAGAAACAACACAAACACAAATTGGGCAGGGGGGTTGGTACTTTTAAATATTCTCAAGAAAAAATGAGGCAAGAATTAGTAAAATATATTGTACATGCTGAACAACCATTTTCATTACCTGAAGATACTAAACTTGAAAAATGGTTACATAATTTTGTAAATCCACAATTTAAAAAAGTTTCTAGGAATACTATTAGATCGGATGCTTTAAAAAATTTTCATTCATAAAAATTCTTAAGTTATAATTACTTCTGATATTTAGACTTCTAAATTTAACATAAGTTATATTTGTGTTATCGGTCATTTTATTGATTAAAATTGGTTTTTAAATAAAAGAATTTTAAGTTTTACTAGACTTGAATGGCCACATACTGACTCAGCTATTACTACAAATATTTTAAATACTTTACATGCTTATGGAATTGACAATAAATTATTTTCTATTAGTTTTGATAATGCTAGTAATAATGATTCAGTAATAAATATTTTAAAATCTCAATTAAAACCATGTTTAAATGATAAATTATTTCATATCAGGTGTGCATGTCACATCTTAAAGTTATGTATTCAAGATGCTTTAATTATTATTTCTATTCATATTTCTAGAATTAGAAATTGTATTATGTATATTAATAGTTTTGGAGCAAGAAAAAAAGTATTTAAATATTTATGTCAAAATTATGGTTTAAAATATAAATATTTTATATTAGAAGTTAAACATAGATGGAGTTCTACCAATGCTATATTAGAAAGTTGTACTTTTAACAAACAAATTTTTAGTGATTTTTATAATGCCAAAATGCCTACTGGTATTATATTTGAGGAAGATTAGGAAATGACAATTTGTATAAGAGATTTTTTAAAACATTTTTATGATACAACAAATGAATTATTGAGTATTTGTTATCCAACTAGTTGTAATTTAGCTTATCAATTAATGATGATTAGTAATTGTTTTGCAAAATATAGAAATGATCCACAATTTAAAAGTATTGTTGAAATAATGGAAAATAAATTTAAAGAATATTGGGAGAACATTTCTCCTCTTTATTGCTTAGCTATAATATTAGATCCTAGGATTATGAAAGATGGTTTAGATATTTTACTTGGGACATATTGTGAAAATATGAATATTAAAATTGGAAATAAAAAAGAAAAAACTAATAGCTTATTATTTGAAACGTATAGTTTATATGAATTTGAAATAACAAGGAACAATAAAATTTCTATAACTTGTACAATTGCATCTTCCAATTTTGAACTTGAGTCCAATAGTGGAAGAGAAAAACTTTTTTTTTTTAATAAGAGGTAGAAATCCACTGCCTCAACAATAAGTTCATTTATTGAACTTAATTTTTATTTACAAGCAATTTTTCTACTTTAGGTGATTCTTCCTTCACCTCGAAGAGAACAAATAATTTTGATATTTTAGTCTAGTGGAGTGAATATGCAAAAAAATTATCCAGTTCTCGTCGCCATGGCACGTGATCTACTAACCCCTTTGGTGTCTACAATTCCATCGAAGTCTTGTTTTAGTGTAGGTACTAAAGTGTTGGACGACAAGAGAAATTGTATGAATAACGAAAGTCTAGAGATGTGCATCTACTTTAAAGATTGGCTAAATGCTGAAGATAGATTACAAGACAAAGGAGGGCATGACACTACACTTGATGTTTCACCTAAAGCAAATGATCAAAGTCAAGAACAATAGGAGAAAATAATAAAGTCAATATTTTTTGTATACTCAATAGTTGTATAGCATTATTTCAAAGTACTTTAAATTTTGTTTTAATTTTATTTAACTCATTTGATATTTTTTTAATAACGTAATTTTTTATCTTCAATTTGTAACTATATTGTATTTTTATATTTTATTAATTTATTCCATTTTCCAAATTTCATATTTCATTCATCTAACCATTGTGTGCTTTGTATCATTTAAATTAAATGAAATAAAATTCCTATTTTTCTTCTAATTTGTTATTCACTTTGAGTCTTTGCCTCTTTGACTTCTTATTTGGTTAAGTATTTTTTTTCCATTTCTTTGTTAGATTTCATATTTTTTCAAATAGTTTCCAAATGAAAGTTAAATATTTTAGTTTTACTTAGCAAGAAAAAAGAAATATATAAGAAAACAAAAAAACCAGTCTAGCCTGATTCGGTCCATGCCAAGGCTTGACTTGTGGCCCAGCTTGGTACGGCATGGGCCCACACGGGCTTGGGCCATGCTAGGCCGATCCCCACCCCCCAAATTATCCCTAGGGAAGGCGACACAGCCCAAGATGGCCTACAGGTCGACACAACACAACCCATTTTACACCTCTACAAGTTCCAAAAACAAACCAAAATCATTTGATTTGAAAACAATTTTGGTTCTTAAAATGGAAACACAAATGCAGGTTCTTGGTCATACATGGCTTCTTTTTTTTTCTTTTTTTTTGTTTCTAAAACTGATCTGTTTATAAAGAATATGTTTTCGCATGCTTATTTATCATGTTCCATAAATCATATAGTGGTACCATTGTCACCTCTACTCAATGTTTTGTGTTGTTCAATACTAATTTTTGAGAAATTGTCTTGTCACAAGAAAACCATTTCCACTAGAAAAAAGGCATTAGATTAAGTGTTGGCATTTATAGTAAAAGCACTTTGACATTTTGTAAAGAAACAACAATGATTTCAAATGTTGTATTGATAACTCAAAGCATTTTTGGTAAAAAAAATATTTTCTTATAAAATTTATATTGACCAACTGAAAATGTTGTAAGTGGAAGTGGCAATGGTATTGATGTAGCTCAAATAGAAAGAGAAAATGTGAAAGAAACTTGTTCAAAGAATTGGAAAAGAAGGAAAAATAAATTTGGATAAAACTTCACTAATATGAGATGACTTGCAATATAAGGCAATATGGTTGGGGACTCGCTCAATCTAAGAGAGGACTCTCTCAACTCTCAAAGAAAGCTCTAAGCTTCTCAAAACAAAGAAAATAACATGATACCTCTGACTTGAGATTACAAAGCTTTATATAAAGAACAAAAACAAATAGTTGGAGCAATGGAACATTTAATATAAAACTAGCCGTTAGAAACCCATTACCAAATTAATCATTAGAAGTCCACTACTAAACTAGTTGTTGGAAGCCCATTAACCAAAATGGTTGTTGAAAGCTCATCAATGAGTTCAAATTTATGCCTATTTGCCTCCTTTTAAAATAATATGGTGCTTCTTGGGGAAGATTAC